TTTTTGACCACCTTTAATATTAACAAAATCACCTTTCAAAAGTAGGTCAGGTGTTTTTATATTGTGAAGTACGGTAGTATATAAAAATGTCGTGTGGAAAATAAATTAATTCTAAAGATTTCTATTGGCAGATTTCAAAAAAGCAACCTAGAGAATTCCAAAACACTCAACAGATAGTCGATGGGTACAGTGACGCATGCAGTACCTGTTCTACAGCGACTTAACATAATTTCTGAGGTATGCTCTCACATCACTATGATAAAATTAAAAGTCTGTGCATCAGCCTCATAATTTGTTGTAGAAGTAGAACAGTATTGTGAGCCATAGATCAAACAAAATGTAACAACGAAAAATGTAAAGATCTAGCGCACAGACATTCAGCTTGCTACCACATCGAATAAAATATATTTTCTTCAATACGCTGCCTCGTTTGAAAAGTCTCAGAATCATATCATAAAGTATCTTGAAGTGGAGAGGCGCAACCGCTTTGTCTAAGTGTTTGTCTACCTTTTGACACGATGTGATCATAGTTTTCATCAGGAGGGGCATTTCGTATAGGTTGTGGGCTAGCAGTGACGATTCCTGGAGTACCTTCACGATTGTCGTCCAAATGTCTTTTTCGTTTGAGTTTCATTCTAGGATTCGGGGGTTGGCTCAAAGTCAAGTCCAGCTCTGACATGACTGTCGGTATCAAAATGAGCAGGAGGGGCGGCATGGCGGGCATGGGCGGCTAAGAGATCTTGGGTAGCGTAAGTGGGTTTCTCGGATAGGATGGCTCTCAAATTTAAGTTTAACTGAGGATTTCCACCGGCTCGAGCAATCTCGAGCTCTTGATTTGAGGGAATAAATTCCGCGACTTGAGCATTTTGATTGGCTTGAGCACTTGAGACAGCTTCCTCGGCTTGTGGAATCTCATTTTCATTAGATTGCATGGCACCACTGACTGCATATCTGTAATTCTCAGCAAATTTAAGTCGCGATTTAAGATCTTCTTGAGCTGTCGCAAATTTCTTCTTAAAGGAGTCGGCAAGGTCGAGGAATTTCTGCTCATATTTTTCGGCTGTTATAACATCTTGTTTAGCTTTGTTGATGGCATTTTCTCGATCAGCTTGAGGGGCTTCATTGATTTGATACTTTTCCTCGTCCCCGGTTTTGAAGGCAGGTATGGCGAGTTGTTCGTTTAGTTTTGCTTGTGTGAGGAGACTGGTGGTGGCGGCTTCGGCGGCTTCCAAGGCATTTCTCCACTCGTGTTCGATATCTTTCATTTTGCTGGAGGATTCGAGGACTTTTTTGGCAGCGGCATCAGCTTGCTCGAAGTGATACTGGACGAGGTCGTCGTGAAAGTCGTAGTACTGAAAAGCTCTAGTAGTTTTGTGTTTTATATCCTCGATTTCTTCTATTGCAACGAGTAATTTTTTGTTAACTTGCTTGAGTTCTGCAATAGCGTCTTCATGATTTTTCTGGAGAATTCGGATCCTTTCTCCACTTGAGTTCGCGGAAGTGCCAACGTGTTTTTCGGGCATGAGAATATTCTTCAAGCTACGCCAACGTTGCTTCTTGGTTTTCTTCAACTTTAAAGAGGTGTTAGAAGCAGTATTTTCTGCTTTCTCGATTACTTGAGCAAAATTGACGCGCTCTTCTTCAGCCACTGGGGTTTCTCCACTCCCTTTAAGAGATCTTCTGGGCAACGTCGTTGTGTCAAAACCACCGGCTTGAGACTTGTCATGTAATTGCGTTTTTACAGACTTGATCTGGACAGATTCAGCAGCTGTGCAGGTGCTACTTGCGATGAAGAAAGCAGTGGCCACGTAATATGCACCTCGCATGACTTGCGGGAAATAGTAATTGTCAACCACCATGATTGAAATTATTTCTTCTTCATATGATTGGTTGAAATCCTAGCCATCAAACACATTGTTGATTGGTTATCATAACTATTTAGATGTTTAATTGGCTAATATTATATCTTAAAAAAACAATAATAAGTATATATTAAAAATCATTTAATTCATTGACATTAGTTGGCGAATATCACATGTGAAGCGCTTAATGAAAATGATAGTGTTGCTTCAATTTAAGTTCCGTGTTGTTATATTCTCGTTTGAATATGCAAAGTAAACGTAACTCGACTTTCGATAGAGCGAATAACTGCACGCATTCTTGACATTAAATTTCGGTTCCTGAAACGTGAGATAGACCCCGCCGACAAAGTATCGACCAACTTACAGATATGCACGTAACCAAATACAACTAATACAGAGATGAATAAACGCTACACACTACAACAATTTCAATTTGCTGCACATCTGAAGCAAGGCATCACATCATCTCACGGAACTTGGACCTTTGTGCAGTAAAGATAGTTCAGTAGCATCTAATCGATACTAAATTTGATCAGTCCTTAACAATAACAACGTAATTAATTGCTAATCACACTGGTTTGCATCAAAATTTTGCTCACGGTCATGACGTTGAAAGTTGTCTTTGAGATATGGTAATCAACGCAGCTTTTATTGCAAAGTGGCAGCAGTCAAAGTCGATAAAAATATCACTAGCGAGCACTGCTGATGTTTTGCAACCGCATTTGTATGCTTTCCCGTTAGAAATATCTACTTGTTGATTACTTGACTTTGTGTCCACACACAAAAATCGCCTAATGCATACAAAATCTTACTTTCTAAAGTCGGGCTTGCATTGGCAGGTTCATGTCTATTGCACTATAGGGATTTTTCTGACGATACAACCATAGAAATTTGTACACGGTTTTCGTGGCCGTAATGCAGAGGGTGGCATGCCGCAGATAACAGTATTTGACATATTTACAAAGGAAGCTCGACATAACTCGATGCAGGGTTTTTTAAGTATAAAAAGCCTGATTGTCATGAGGCGAAGACGAAGAATTTCGTCATATTGACTCGCGCTTGATTGTATGTGATATAACTATTTATTCGATGGTAAATTCACATAGATCAAGCTGAAAAAATATACAATCTGGTCAGTAAAGAACGAGTGGTATAGGCACTGGCTAAGTAAGTACCCAGCAGTGAGCCCCAAACACCGCGTGATCAGACTTTGTCCCTTGGAGAGTTTGAACCATCAATGATGGCACCACACCTTGAAAATAACGATTATCTAAAATCGTCTTTTGTGCGAATAAAATGTAATACTTATGCATTTGAAATAGACGTGTGGCCGCACAATCGTTCTTCAACGCTTATTGAGTGGCATTATCTCAAATTTTGCAGATTGGAATGGAATTACACGTACCCTAGTAGGAAAGGGCGGGTCACACAAGATGGTGTGACCGTACAAAGGGGTGGGTTACACAAGTTGGTATCATCACACAATAGTGTGACTACACCGTAACAAGAAGCCACTACGTGGCAGGATTGCCAGGAGTAATGCAAATAAACAAGGTTTTACTATCCTCTCGCTTGGTCTAACTGAATAATACCATGCGAGCTATATTAGTCAGGAGAATCTAAGGTTTAGATATTGGTGGCTCTACCGCAAATAAACAATTAAATACAATTTCAGTTTTGAATGGAAAAGTCTTTTCACCTGGACTAAAGTTCAAGTACTCTTGGAGGCAGCGGATTGCGATCCGCTGCACTAAGTGAAGAGCTATCGCCGTCCCGCTACAGAGATCCTTGGTATTGGCTTGACCTTGACTCCCGCTTCCTCGCGTATAAGTGCAAGCATCTTCGCTCAGAGTGCCTATGTAACATATTTGTAAGCTGACGCTTTGTGTTGATACAATCGATCATTAAAAATTCTTCTTTCTCATTCTCGCTGATGATTTCTTATGCTCAACTCCATTCGAGATACATTTATGAGCAATTTTTATGGCCTGATTAATTCCCTGCTTGTAGTCAATCTTTGTCTGAGTCGTTACGACTGATTTTCTGTAAGGATGGAAAAATACTCCAATTTGCCCCTGGGCATGCAGGACGGGCTTAATTAGCTGATGTTCCTGCTGGGCTCTGAGGGCGTGGAGCACCTCGTTGCGCAAGAGACCGAGGCCATAAGGGCGCCTGGGGGCGTGTTTAAACTACGTAAATGTCTGCTAGAGCACTTACAGCAGAAACTGTCAGCGTCGACTGCGTCTATGACGCCAACGTCGATGATGGATGGCTCTTCCCGAGCATGGTGAGCATTCAGACCTTCGAGGGTAAGAATGGAGAGAATCTCCTGCTCTGGGTAAGAGAGGCCGAGATGGCTATGACATCCGCCAAGCTCCAGAACGAGCAACAGCGCGTGGCGCTAGCTATCACATACCTGGGGGGCCGAACGCGAGCATGGGCTCTAACATGCGGTACCTCGGTTGGAGCGGCGTTCCCCTTTCGGAGAAGCTGAAGCCGCAGCTTTTGCGAGTATTCTCTCCGCCCAACCAGGCATATCGCGTGCGATCGCGTTAACAGGGCAAGAAGGAATTGATGGTCTTTGTTTAAGAGTTGCGGACTCTCATTGCCGTGGCGGCGGTAAATCCTCTACCCGAGGCGGTCACGGTAACCGCCTTTATAGAGAGCCTCCTACTGGCGTTGCAGCGGTGCTGCCGTAGATTTGCGGTTGAGGAAGCTTGATTTAGGTCATCGACCTTTGGTTCTTTACAAAAACCAATACGAGTGTAGCGGTTCGCAATCCGCTACCTCCAAGAGTAGTAGGTACCTTAACCAAGGCTAATAAACTCTTTGGTTTAAATTCAAATCTGATTTATATTTATTTTTATCTGCTGCAATAAGCCGCCTAATTTTAAATGCATAATTTTCCTAAATATGTATAGTAAAATCTAAATACATGCTTAACTACTGGCTATCTAGCCCCATACCGTATTCTTGTTTGGGTGTGGTCGCACCATGCCCATCTGGTGTGACAAACACCCCTGTAACCAGGGTATGTGTAACCCCGTTACAGGCGTGGTCAGAATGGAGCTCTTCCTTGTGCCTCCGTCAAATGGTGAATGTGGCGCTGAATGACGAATTTAACTCTAATTCGGCACAACTTGCTTGAGATGCACACCCTCAGATCTCGTCGAGCGGGCCTTTCCAATGAACCTCAGCTATGAGAAAGAGGAGGGAGGGAGAGCTCAAAGCTGCCGGGTAGCGTATAAACACCTGACGGTGTATTGTCTGTGGAGACACCGATCACCTTCAAGCTGGTTTTCTCCTGGGCAAGCCACGTCAAGGTTTACTGAACCGACGTTTGCTTCTTGCCAGTTTGGTTTGTTGCGGGGAAATGACAAAACCAAGCAGGCATGGATCGCCCTACTGGGGAAGAATTGAGTTCTCAAAGACGTGGACGGCATCAGGGCTCAGCCGAAGAGCTCCGTGCTTTTGAACACGTAACGTGTATGCAAGCCGGTCTTGCTGGTCGTATAGGCGATTGTGAAGAGCTGTGAGAAGCCTGATCGATTCCGGGGCATCTGGCAATTATTCTTGAGGCTCCACTATCGAAGGAAGTCAGCTGTACGCTAGGACGCTGAATGCGCGGTTGAGTGACACCGTCACTGTTTGCTTAGCGACGGGGCATTGTGTCACTGTGCCGTGGGTCCCTGTGGACCTCGATGTCAAGTTTCTTGACGTCGATCGCGTGGAACGCTGCTTAGTCTTAGACTTGGTTTTAAGGCATGACCATATCCTTAGTATAGCATGGTCTGAACACCATGAACCGTGGAACGATTGGAGGTCGAAGACCCCGGGCGCTACGCGCACGTCTCCTAGTGGAGTTTTGGTGAGTTATAAACACACCTCTGCTAAGAAGCAGAAGCGCTATTGGCGTGGGCACTAGACTGGGACGGTCAATGTGCTGGATATCGGAGTATCCGGGATGTCGAACACCGAAGGTGTGTTGGACAAGAGTCCCGAGCATGGCTCGCGGGCTGAACGTTTTGTGGGATATAACCCACTGAGCACTGTTCAAGTGTCAAAACAGTTGCAACATGCCTCGAGTGACATGGTCGGATAAGGTCCGAGGCATCATGGGCAAGGCCCTTCACATGCGCGAGGAGTGGCACGTTAGCCACTATACGCAGACTGCGGAAATAGCACCTTTTCGTCGGATGCTGTTAATAAAATCAAAACTCCGACGGAGCTGGGAGTGGAGACTCTAGGCGACGCTGAGTGTGTTCCCGCTGGTCTCAGTGAGACGTAAAACCTCTATAGAGACGGGTCGGCGATGCCGTATTGTATCTGCAAGACCCAGGGCGTCGACCCTGACCCAGGGGGTGTCTACCGTTGACGAGAGCGTACAGCTATACACCCTTGTCAGCGGTATGACCGGAGAGAAAGACGGCGACGTTACCCTCAAGGATATTTTCGCCGCGGATGCTCTTCTTAAGCTGGACGAGATGTCCTTCAAAGAGTTTGGCGGTACCTCGGAGGCAGGATGTTCTGCAGAACAATATGTTGGCTGTATAAGTGCAGTGCACTCGACTTCGTCGACGGGTATTACCCATTGCTCATTAGGGCGAGGGATTTTTTCTGGCAGCGGTGAGTCCTCCGAGCGGGATGGATGGCGATGCCTCAAAGGCTACCAAATGCACCAGCGACATTTAATCGTTATGTGACGTAATTGTTCAGGCCCCACCGGGGGTATGCACAAACATACTTCGACGACATTTTCGTCCACAGTCGCGCGGGGCAAGGGAGGATAGATGAGGAAAACCACACCGTCTATTTAGGAGCCGTGCTCGAGTGCATGCGCACAAATTAGATATATGCTAATGCAGAAAAGTGCATTTTCGGCGCTGAAGAATTTAGAGTGCTTCATTGGGAAGCCTGGCCTTCAAGCGGATCCCGCAAAGGTCAAGACCACTGTGGACTGGTCGGTTCTAAAGAACCAAAAGAACTTGCGCAAGTGG